ACTGGCACTATCTTGCTTTATACTTGTATTCCTTTGTTAGGTACATAGATATTTGCAAATGTTATATCTTTTTATTGTATTTATCACTCTATAATTATGCCATGACCCTTTCATCTCAGTACAGTGTTTGTTTTAAAGTAAAATTTAAAAATATATAATCATTGCTACCACAGCTTTCTTTTAATTTGTGTGGGAAATCTTTTCCATCAATTCTCTTTCAGTATGTCTACCTCTGAAGTAAGTCTTCGAGGGTTGCATACACATGGGCCTTTAAAAAAATATCCAGTCAACTACTCTGTGTCTTTTGATTGTAATATTTATTCCATTTACATTCAAAGTAATTATTGGTAGTATTTACTTATTGCTGTTTTGTTAGTTGTTTTCTGTTTAGTTCTCTGATTCTTTCTTCTTCTCTTTCCTTGTAACTTAATGAAGTTCTTTAGTGCTATGTTTATATTTCTTCTTTTTAAATTTTGTGTATCTATTACAGCTTTTTGTTTGTGTTTACCATGAGGTTTGTATTTAACAACCTATGTATATAGCAGCCTAAGTTGATGATCACTTGAGTTCAAACATGTTTTCAAAGTACAATCATGTCCCACATTTTATGTTTTTGATGTCACATTTTGCATCTTTTAATTTTGTATATTGCATAATTAATTGTTTTAGATACTATTTTACTACTTTTGTCTTTTAACATTCATGCTATTGTTATAGGTGGTTGATCCACTGTCTTTACTATATGTTTTATTTTACTAGTGACATTTTTCCTTTCATAATTTTCCTTTTCTAGTTATGGCATTTTCTGTTTTTTTCTACCTAAAGAAGTCTCTTTACTATTTCTTGTAAGGCTAGTTTAGTGGTGATAAACTCCTTTAACTTTTGCTTCTTTGGGAAACTCTCTCTCCTTGAATTCTGGATGAATCCTTGCCAGGTAGAGTATTATTGGTTATTTTTTTCTTTCAGTACTTTGAATATATGGCATCAGTCTCTACCTACCTGTAAAGATTCTGCTGAAAAATCAGTTGATAATCTTATGCTGGTTCCTTTGCATGTAACTAGTTCCCCCCCCCCCTTGCTGCTTTTAAGACTCTTTTATTTTAATTTTTGTTATTTTAAGTAAAATGTATTTTGGCATGAATGTCTTTCAGTTCATCTTGTTTGGGACTCTGTGATTCTTGCGCTTGGATGTCTGTTTCCTTCAATAATTTAGAAACATTTTCAGCCATTATTTCTTCAGATAGAGTTTCTGCCCTCTAATTCTTCTCCTGTAATCCCTATAATGCAAATGTTATTATGCTTAATATTTTCTCAGAGGTCCCTTAAACTGTTTTCAATTTTTAAAAAGTTCATTATTCTTTTTGCCATTCCAATGAGGTGATTTCTACTGCCCTGTCTTCTAGATTGCTAATCCATTCTTCTGCATCCTCTAATGTGCTGTTAAGTTACTCAAGTGTATTTTCATTTGTTATTGTATCCTGAAGTTCTGACTGCTTCTTTTTTATATTTTCTAACTCTTTGTTGAAGTTTACTGACTTCATCCATTCCTCTGAGTTTAATGAGGATTTTTATGACTATTTCTTTGAATTCTTTATCTAATAATTGTTTATTTTTGTTTCACCTAGTTCTTTTTATGAGGATTTTTCCTCGCTCTTTTATTACTTTTGTTTTATGAGGTTTTGCCATGTTGGCTCTGCATTTTGCCTCACTCTCTGTTTGTTTCTATGTGTTGGGTATATCAGGTTTAGCTCTAGGTCTTGAAAGAGTGGTGTTGTGTAGACCACTGGTGTCCAGTGAATCCCAGTGGAACAACTTCCCCTGGTCATCAGAGCCAGGTGCTGTAGGGGTGCCTTCCTGTTGTGATTGGGTCGCAATTCCTGCAGGCATGCTGCATGGCTTGGTAGCTGCTGCAATGCCCTTGCAGACTGGTTGGTCCCCATCCCAACTGTCTGAAACCTGGTCAGAACTACTGTAGGTGTGCTCGTGGGCGGGATGGCCCCTCAGTATGGCTGGTTGTGAGGCCCAGCTGTGACCATTGTAGATTTGCTGGTGTGTAGGGCTGGCCTCCAGGAAAGGGAGATGGTTTGGAGGGGTGCCAGCTGAGGTGGAATGAGAGCCACTTTAAGAACTGAGCAGGGGAACTGGATTGGGCGGGGCTGGTACTTAGCATAAGGCTGGGGTGTGGCACACAATGTTAGTTATATATCTGGAGAATTACGGAAATGATCCCCACCAACAGTGGATCAGCTAGGTAGAAGGAGACTAAAAATATATGACATCCACTAGCACTTCTGTTCTTTGAGATAGTTCCACCAGATCCTACCCTTCTGGCATATGCCCTAAAATTAATCAATTGATTTCCTTCTTATATGATCCAGGTGCTTTGCAAGTCCTCAAGCTGGGACATGGAGAAAGTTGAGTTTGTATACAAGCTCTTCACAAGGGGAGTTTTGATTTCCCACAGCCAACTGGTTCTCCTGATTATAAACCCCACCAATTCTCAAAGCCAGACATTATGGGGACTTTTCTTCCCAGTGCAGGACTTTTGGGCTGGTGAGCCTGATGTGAAACTTGAACCCCTCCCTCCTTGAATATTACTTCGTGGGGTAATATTCCTCCCATGAGTTCTGGCTAGCCCACATCTCTGCCCCCCTACCCATCTTGATGTGGCCTTTTCGATATATCCTTAACTATATGAATTTTGTTCTGCTAGTCTTCAGGTTATTATTGGAGACAGTTTTAGTTGTGGTTTTGGCATTTCTCTGGGAACAAGTAAACTCCTATTCTGCTATCTTTATCTGACTCCTGAAGATAATGCCAGACAATTTTCTAATGGAGTATCAGTTTATATTCCCAACACCAATGTTTGATGGTTCCAATTTTACTGTTTCTTCAACACTTAGTATATTTATATGTATATTATGGTATCTCTCAGTGGCACCCTTTGCGCTTACCAATGACTGTTGATGTTGTTCATTTACATATGCTCACACTAATAAAGCAATGCTCAAAATTCTCCAAGCTAGGCTTCAGCAATATGTGAACCGTGAACTTCCAGATGTTCAAGCTGCTTTTAGAAAAAGCAGAGGAACCAGAGATCAAATTGCCAACATCCGCTGGATCATTGAAAAAGCAAGAGAGTTCCAGAAGAACATCTGTTTCTGCTTTATTAACTATGCCAAAGCCTTTGCCTGTGTGGATCACAATAAACTNTAAAAGATCCCTGACGCTGGGAGGGATTGGGGGCAGGAGGAGAAGGGGACGACAGAGGATGAGATGGCTGGATGGCATCACCGACTCGATGGACATGAGTTTGAGTAAACTCAGGGAGTTGGTGATGGACAGGGAGGCCTGGCAGGCTATGATTCATGGGGTCGCAAAGAGTCAGACACGACTGAGCGACTGAACTAACTGACTGGATATTTGTATGTTCATTTTTGTAAAGTCAGTGTTCAAGTCTTTTGCTCATTTTAAAATTGGATTTTCTGTCAATTTTATTAGTGATTTTCAATTCAAAATATTTCTCCTCTGTGTGACTTGCCTTTTGACTCATTTAATAATGTCTTTTGATGATTATGCCTTCACTGTCATGGTTATATTTGCTGTGTTTTTGTTCTGAAAGCTTTATTGCTTTATCTTTCACACGTAGATGTAGAAAAGTTGTAAACTAAAACCAACCTGTATGAAGTAAGATGGGAATCAAAGTTCATTATGTGCGTATGGAAATCCGTTTGAATCGGCATCATTAATTGAGATGAAAATCATCTCTTCACTGCATTTTGTGTCACTTCTGTCATATTTGTGCATCTATTTCTAGACATTTTATTCCATTGTTGTCAAACTTTAGCATGCACAGAATTACTTGAGTGGCTCGTTAAAGCAAGAGTAATGGCTTCCAATCCCAAATCTTCTGGTTCAGTAGGTCAGGGATGGGGCCTGAAAAGTTGCATTTCTAAAAATCTGAGCTTATGCAGATAACCACACTTTAAGAAAAAATTATCCTTTCTGTTACATTGCTCTATTTCTTGGCCTTAAATTACTATAGTTTAAAAAACACATATATGTTAGTATATGTCTACCATATTTGTTCTTCCTCAGTCTTTCCTTGGAGATTCTTAACACTTTGCATTTCTGTGCACATTTTTAAATCACTTTACATTTCCATGTAAGCTTTAGAATCAACTGATCAGATGATCATTCTGTACACACATACACACACACAGGATTTTGATTGGGATTGCATTAAATCTTTAGATTAGTTTAGGGAAAATTGTCATCTCCCCATGATTGGGTTTTTCCAAAGCAAGAACATGGTATATTTCTTCATTTATATAGGTCTTCTTTAATATTTCAATTGTTTTTTTTGTAATATTCCATGAAAATGTCTTATATAACTTCCTTTAGATTTATTCCTGGGTATTTTTTTTAATTCAAGTAACACCATTTGAATGTTTTTATGCTATTCAAATGGCATGTTTATATTTAACTTTTTGTTTGTGGCTTATATATAGATATACAACTGATTTTTCTATGTAGACTTTTTATTTAGCAGTAGAACAGAGACCAAAACTTTTAACTTTAAGAAAGAGTCCAGGAGATTTTGACAAATACCAACATTTGAAAACAACTGCAATAGAGATGTGTTATTAAATATGCATTCTGTAGGCCAACAGAATCAATATCACTTGGGAGTTTATTAGAACTACACAGGGATCAAGTTAGGGTGAATGAGCAATTTGGGGAGGGAATGGTTTTCTGACACAGGAGACATTCAAGGGAAAGCTTTCTATTATGCTCAAAATATTTTACAGTATCATGTTCTGACTGGTAGAGGTCATAATGTTTAGAAACCAAAATTAAAATTATGATAAACATCTTTGATTCATACTGATCCCAGGCAACAGGGAGTGATTTATATTCCTATATCTTAGTAATGAAGTTGGGCAGATAGAGACATGCTTTTGGTCTTAGAAATATCTCTGATTCAATAAGATACTTACCTTATATAATTTTTTGAAGATACCAAACAAAATGTAGCGAAACAGAAAGGTTTTCACTTTCCACAAGGTGGTCTCCAGAAGGAATATCAAGAGGAAGAAAAGAAGTCCTGTGACAGCCATTGCAAGTAAGTATCTTCCAACTGCATCATGTTCCAAGGTATATATACTACGCTCAGTTACTGATGACAACAACAAATAAAATGTGGACTTAAGAGTTAACTCAAAGAACAAACTTTAAAAAGTCAACAAATAGGAAGTACTAAGGAATGGCTATCAAACAAGCTCAAAATTAATGTATTTAATTGTATGTTTAAATAACTTTGTATGTCATCCAAAATATTTTCAAAATCCATTACAGTCCAAAATCTATACAGTCCATGGAATTCTCCAGGCCAGAACAGTGGAGTAGGTAGCCTTTCCCTTCTCCAGGACATCTTCCCAACACAGGGATTGAATCCAGGTCTCCCGCATTGCAGGCAGATTCTTTACTAGCTGAGCCCTCAAAATCCATTAATGGAGGCAAAACCTTTAATTCCATGAGCTTTGTTTTGCTATAGTTCTAGGCATCCATTCCCAACATAGTCAGAATCATTGGGTGAATGCCCACTCACACTAACTAGAGTACTGGGTAGTAGCAGAGACTCTCCTTGCCCTCAAATATTGTTTTCTCTGAAAATACTTTAGATAGAGGTTTTGAAAATTGGAGCAGGAGCAGAAGAATCACCTGGTAGTGTGCTACATATACACTTTAACCTATAAGAGCTAAAGGTTAAAGTTTAGAAGTTAGTTGTAACTTAACTTTTAAACTTAAGTTGTAAATGCCTAAGAGCTGGTACTTTCCCAATTACTTATGAGAAAACTTTATAATTACAAGGTTTTGAATTCGTGAAAGCAGTAGATTCATAAAAGTGGTAAAGATCAAATTTCTTTTTTACTTTTAAAAAACTTCATATTAAAATATGATATACACACTTGGAAATTCACCTAAGTATAGGACTCATTGAATTTTTAGAAACTGAAAATATCTATATAACGAGCAATATTTTTCACCAGTTTTAAACTTCAACTGCATCATATTATTTCTTTTCTCTTTTACTTTCTTCCTTTCTTTCACTCTTTCCTTCTAATTTATAGTTGTGCCTGCGTGCATGTCTGCTAAGTCATTTCAATCATGCCTGACTCTTTGTGATCTTGTGGAGTGTAGCCCGTCATGCTCCTCTGTCCATGAAGATTCTCCAGGCAAGAATACTGGAGTGGGTTGCCATGTCCTCACCCAGGAGATTTTCCTGACCCAGGGATCAAACCTGAATCTCTTATGTCTCATGCATTGGCAGGTGGGTTCTCTACCACTAGAGCCACATGGGAAGTCCATTTATCACTGGACGTACTTTTTGTAGTTATCACTCAAGACATTACATTATGCATGCATAACTTACAGTCTGAGTGAAGTGTAAAAACCTTTTCCATGATTTATATCTCTTTAACACCCCCATTTATTACTGTCTTAAATATCCCCACTATATACACTGAGAACATTATCATACACTGTTACCACTTTTGCTTTAACCACCAAATTTGAGAAAACTCAAGAGGAGAAAGTATATAGTGTCCACCCATATTTTTATTTTTTTCATTTTTTTTTTGATGCTTCAAAATTCTTTCTTCAATCATTTATGTTTACAGAATCTCTAGAGCCATTCTTCCAGGACTTCTAGAGGTGACAAATTTGTGTAGATATTCTTCATCTGAAAATGTCTTGATTTCCCCTTCATTCTTGAAAGTTATTTCCTATCTATATGAAGTTTTGAGTAGACAGCTTTTTTATTTACTTGACGATAACCTGCTGCTTCTTTTGGTGTTTATGCTGTCTGGTGAGAAATCTATAAATTAGAGGAATTGTTTTGCCTTTATGGATAAGGTACCATTTTTTTTCTGTAGCTACTTTTCTTTAGTTTTCAAAGTTTAATTATGATATCTCTTGGCATGAATTTCTTCAGTCTTTTTAGAATTGAGATATAATTAATATATAACATTAGTTTCAGGTATATAACATAATAATTTGATATTTGTATATGTTGAGAAATGATCACCACAATACGTCTTATTAATATCCATCACCACACATACTTGTGCTTTTTTGTGTGTGATGAGAACTTTTAATATATACTCTCTTAGCAACTTTCAATTATACAATTCAGTATAAGTATCTATAGTTACCATTCTGTACTTTACATCCCCATGAGTTACTTATTTTATAACTGGAAGTTTGTACTTTTTAAATCCCTTCTCTTATTTTGCCCAACCTCACATCCCCTGCTTCCTGCAACCATCAGTTTGTTATCCATGAGTTTCTTTTAAAGATTCCATTTGTAAGTGAAATGATATGATACTCATCTTTCTTTGTTTGACTTATTTCACTAGGCATAATGCTCTAAAGGTATATCTGTAATGTCTCAAATGGCAAGATTTCCTCCTCGTTTATGGATAAATAATATTCCTTACATATACACCCCATTTTCTTTATCCATTCATCCATGGCTATCATTTCTCATGAGAAAAATGCACTATGCATATGAGTAGTGAATCTTAGCTCTAACTTGTAAAGTTGTATAACAGAATAAGTTATTCAATTTTGTATAAGCTTTAGTTCAAAGAGAGAATAGCACAAAACTTGAATAACTGTGAAGATTCAAAATAATGTAGCTATTCACATGCAATAATTAATTGACTAGTTTTAACTCTGATGAGCCTTGGGTAGCCCAAGATACTTACCTGCTTTACTACAATTCATTAAGGGAGAAACCTTTTTCGGTGAAGCACATGCAAATTTTGTGTACTCGATATCATAATACCGACTGATGCTCATCCCAAAATTATGTATAGGTAACACCATCATTGCATTAAGCAGGATGCTTTTAGAAGCAGCACTTTCGCCTGTGTTTAAAAAGATAATAACATTAGCGTGGTTTATATGAAATGAACTGTCCCAGGAAAGTAAAATCTCCCTAAGTTGATCAAACTAAACTGAGAAAATTACAAAGCCATAATATTATCCTTGTAAATCTCTTGCCGCTAAGTATACAGTTTCTGATATCTTGTAGTGTAGTTTGTGTTGATAATTACAAAGCTGGAAAATCCTTTTGGGAAAGTTGACGTCCATATTATCTCTCTTCCTGTCACTTGATGTGAACAGTAAACTCATACTTATTATTTCTCATATTTCTTATCCTATGTGATCAATAAAAATAGTCATAATGAGAAATTAGCCTCATACTCAACAGTGAGAAAGAGATAAAGGAACATTTTAAAAGTTGAAAGAAATATTTTTAAAGAACCAAACTTAAAGCTAACTGTGTGTGCATGCTTAGTTGCTCAGTCATGTCCAACTCTTTGTGATCCTGTGGACTGGAGCCCAGCAGGCTCCTCTGTCCATGGAATCCTCCAGGCAAGAATACTGGTTGTTGCTAAGTCACTTCAATTGTGGCCGACTCTGTGTAACCCCATAGACGGCAGCCCACCAGGCCCCCCCATCCCTGGGATTCTCCAGGCAAGAACACTGGTGTGGGTAGCAATTCTCTTCTTCAGGGGATCTTTCCAACTCAGGGATCAAACCCAGATCTCCTGCATTGCAGATTCCTTAACATCTGAGCCACAAGGGAAGCCCTAAAACTGAGGTTTCTCTAAATATTAAATTAATATGTATAATGTGCTGTGTGCTAAGTGACCACTCTGCAACCCCATGGACTGCAGCCCACCAGGCTCCTCTGTCCATGGGGATTCTCCAGGCAAGAATACTGAAGTGGGTAGGCATGCTTTTCTCCAGGGTATCTTCCCAATCCAGGGATTGAACCCATGTCTCCTGCAATTGCAGGCAGGTTCTTTTTTTTTTTTTTTGGTCTTTATTGACTGAGCCAGCAGGGAAGCCCAAGAATACTGGAGTGGGTAGCCTATCCTTCTCCAAGGGATCTTCCTGCCCAGGAATCAAACCAGGGTCTCCTGCATTGCAGGCGGATTCTTTACCAGCTGAGCTACCAGGGAAGCCCATATATATAATAGTTTATGAACATACATGAGTAAATATAAAAGTAGTTATAGGTTAAGATATTAGACTTCAAGATTGAGTTAAGATAATACGTCTGAGCAAAAAATATTTGTGAGATACTGACAAAAGAGAGGTGATGAGCAAAGATGATAGAGGATAAATGAGGTTCTTAGGATGTAAAATTTCCAAGTGGTTAAGTCACACCAATCATGTTCAAAGAGGATAAAAGTTAGTTTAGATCCACATAATATGGTGGCCAGAAATAATAATTCTGGACATTGATTGGCCACTTTAGTATTGAAAAAAGGGAAAGTGTTAGTCATTCAGTCGTGTCTGACTCTTTGCAACCCCATGGAATGTAGCCTGCTGGGCTCCTCTGTCCATGAAATTCTCCAAGCAAGAAAGTATGCTAAAAGTAGTATCATTTCATCTCCTTGCTTACATTTACTCCTTATAATTTTTAATGTGATTTTAAACAGGATACTCTGAAAACTATAAAATATTGATAAAGGGAATCAAAAATTATTTAAAGAAATAAAAATACATCCCCTGCTCTAGGATTAAAATAATTAATATTATTAATACAGTTATACTACTCAAAGCAATCTACAGATTTAGTGCAATCCCTATTAAATGTCAGTTTTCAAAAAACTAGAACAAATAATTCTAAAATTCATATGGAACCACTAAAGATTTCAAGTTGCCTAACCAATTTTGAGATAAAAGAATAAATCTGGAGATATAACCCTCCCAGACTTCAGACTATACCACAAAATTACACTAATCAAAACAGTGCGGTACTGGCACAAAACAGGCAAGAAGCCCAGAAATAAGCCCATGCACATACAGTCAATTAATCTGCAACAAAGGAGGCAAAAATGAATAAAAGAGAAAAGATAGTTTCTTCAACAAGTGCTACTGAGAAAACTGGACAACCACAAATTAAACAGTGAGATTAAAACATTCCCTCACACAATATACAAAAATCAAACCCAAAATGGTTTAAAGACCTAAATGCAAGATCTGAAATCATAAAACTCTTAGAAGAGAACATGGGCTGAATATTATAACATGAATCACGGTGGTACTTTCTTGGATCAGACTCCTGAGGCAAAAGAAATAAAAAAAATAAACAAATAAGATCTAGTTAGACTTAAAATATTTTGCACAGAAAAGGAAACCATCAACAAAGTGAAAATACAACCTATGGAATGGGAGAAAATATTTACAAATGATGTGACAGACAAGGGGTTAATATCCAAAATATAAAAAGCAGCTCATTCAACTCAGTATCCCCCCAAACAAGCAACTCAATTAAAAAAAAATGGGCAGAGATCTGAATAGACTTTTCTCCAAAGAAGACATACAGATGGTAACAGACACTTGAAAAGATGCTCAACATTGCTAATAACTAGAGAAATTCAAACCTAAACAACAATGAGATGTCACCTCACATGGGTCAGAACGACTGTCATCGAGGTCTATAACAAATGGTGGTGATGATATGGAAGAAGGGAACCCTTGTACCCTGTTGGAGGGAATGTAAATTGGTGCAGTCACTGTGGAAAACAGTGTAGAAGTTTCTCAAGAAACTTCAAATGAAACTATTGCATGATCCAGTAATTCCTGTCTCTGGTATATATCCAGAAAAAAAAAGAAAACACTAATTCAAAAAGATGCATGCACCCCAACATTCAAGACAACAGTAGTTACAATAACCAAGATATAGCGGCAATCCAAACATCCATCAACAGAGGAATTGTTATATATCTCAGTCATAAAAGGAATAGAATTCTGCCATTTGCAGTAACGTGAATGGACCTTGATATTATGATAGTGAGATGTCAGAGAAAAACATATACTACAGTATATATTTCATATGTGGAATCTGAAAAATAACACAAATTAATGTATATGCAAAAGAGAAACAGATTCATGGATACAGAAAACAAACGTAGTTACCGAAGTGCAGGAGGAAAAGAGGAGAGACAAATGAGGTTTATGGTTTTAACAAATACCAGCTACTACATACATAAGAGACAAGCAACAGTAACATACTCTAGAGCGCAGAGAATTATACCCATAATCTTCTAATAACCTGTAATGGAGTATGATCTGCAAAAATACTGAATCACTATGCTGTTCACCTGTAACCAACATAATATTGCAAATCACTTATTCTTCAATGAAAATATAAGTGGCTAATGCAGTAGATTAAAGTATTAGTCTCGCTCTGTATAGTACATAAATAGCCCCTCATCTTTAAGGAGCAGAGGAAAATCTTCCCATATAAAGAAGAGTAGTATGATTCCTCACCCCATTAATTGTTGAAAGATACCATTTGAGGGAGGTGAGACAAGAAATAAAAACTGAGAAAAATATGCTGTAATGGATAATGTTTTAAAATGTTTATCTTCCAATTCAGCATGTGTACTAATCAGCAAGAGTAGAATATCAACCAACTAGATTGGGCATAAATGATAAATAATCACGGTAGTTATCCTGTGCATTATGACTGAACAGACCTTTTCTAGGATTTAGAGAAAAGCAGAATTGCTGTCTGCAGTTTTGGTTTTCCTCTTTATACATTCTCAATGTCACTAATAACAATACCTTGACTTTTATGTCATGTCTGAGTAATGACAATTTAATTTCTTTCTAATTTTTATCTATTACTAATTACTATCTATTTATATTACTAATTTCTATCTATTACTAATTAAGACATTAGATGTCATGTTGATTTTTAGGGATCATTTTAAATGATTTATCATTGAGTATGATATTCATTGTTTTTTGTAAATGCCTTTTATGAGGTTATGGAAATATCTACTTTGCTATTAAGAAAAGTTATAATGAATCATTGTTGGATATTTTAATGATATTTTTGCATATATCTATATTTTATTCATTAATTTATTAATGTTGTGAATTATATTAATACACTTTCTGAGTCTATCATTTAATGAGTATATCATTTGCATTGTTTTTGTTGTTGTTCATATGCTCAGTTGCAGAACACCAGGCTTCTCTGTCCTTCCCAGAGTTTGCTCAAACTCATTTCCACTGAATCAGTGATGCCATCCAACCATCTCATCCTCTCTCATCCCCTTCTCCTGCCTTCAATTTTCCCAGGCATCAGGGTCTTTTCCAGTGAGTCGGGTCTTCAGATCAGGTAGCCAAAGCATTGGAGCTTCAGTATCAGGTCTTCCAATGAATACTCAAGGGTGATATTCCTTAGGATTGACTGGTTTAATCTCCTTGCTGTCCTTACTAGGAAATATCTAGTTTGGTCAAAGTGAGTTATCTTTTCTATAGCTTACTGAATTCAGTTTCCAGCATTTTGTTCAAAATATTGCACCTGTATTTATGAGTAATTTTATCTTAGAATGTTCCTTTCTTCTATTCTTTTCCATTTATGTTGTCAAACTTATACTATTTTCATATAATGGGTAGAAAAGCTGTTTTCCCCCTCTTTATTCTCTAGAAGGGTCTGTATTAAATTAGAATTCCATTTTTGAATGTTGCATAAGACTTCAATATGGGCCTAATATTTTCCTTGTAGAAAGATTTTTAATTAATAGCTAATTTTTGAATGGTTTATGGGACAATTTACATTTTATAATAACCTCAGATGTGCAGATGATACCACTTTATTTTTGTGTGTGTGTGTCAAATCCCATTTATTTATTTATTTTTTTTCATTTATTTCTATTAGTTGGAGGATAATTACTTTACAATATTGCAGTGGTTTTTGTCAAAAAATATGGAACGCTTCACGAATTTGCGTGTCATCCTTGCGCAGGGGCCATGATAATCTTCTCTGTATCGTTCCAATTTTAGTATATGTGCTGCTGAAGCGAGCACCAGATGATACCACTTTAATGGAAGG